CATTCTGATACTTAGCGCCCGGTTGCTTACTACCAGCGCTATGGTGCAGCAGGGTCTTGCGCATGCCACCACCTGGGGCATCAGCACGCACCGCATTGTGCAGCGATTTGCGCAGCTTTGATAGATCGTTCGCTGTGGAGCCATCATTTAAATTAGCATTCGTTGATTCGCTGCTGCTCTTTAACAAACTGGTGCTGCATACTTTGCTTTCCGTAAAGATGAACTCATAGTCCTTGTAAACCTTTTCCAAACCAATCTCCAACAGCAACTCCAAAGGCTCTGCGCCGCTGAGACAAGGCATGGCCAAGCGACTGTTGGCCAGATTCGAGATGATATCAGCCAGCCGATTTTTATTGGTGGGCGTGTTCTATAGATAAAAGTTATACTAGTTGGTTCGCAATGAATATGCTAGCTATACACCCACCACAATATTACAGCGCACAGCGCATTGAAAGAGCATGTTGAAGGCTAATTTCAGATCCTTATAGGAAGAGCAACCTATGAGACAGCAAACAAATATAAATCATTTAGTCATGTGGGCACAATCGTTAGGTACACTTACATTTGAGCAACTCCCACAACTGATCGGTTAGATCAGTCAGCTTCCGCTGCTTGGCCCGCTGCACCACCTCCTCAATGTCATACTCAGCGTGATTGTCCGTAAAAACATCCGTGAAGCCCGAAACCTCTGTCATGGTTTTGTTTATGGATTCACGTAGCTCGTCCATGTCAATGCCACTGCCGCAACGGTAGACTGGGTCGCGATGAACGCCCGCCTGCTCGTCCTCGTGATAGCTAACGATGTCCTCGCGTATGTAGGCCAAAATGCGCAGCTGGTTCATAAAGTCTTCCGTCAGTGGGCCACAATCGCCAACGCGAAACGATTGGTTTAGTAGTACATTGCAACCACTCAGATCAATGAGCAGCGGTAGCGACGCCGGTGTGGACCAACTGCAGCACAGCGTCATGTGACGATTCACCTGATAGCAGTTCTCAATGTATGTCTCCAGTTGTGCGCCTGCAGCCATGCCATGTTGTCGAACCAGCGACTGAGATGTCACCATGTAGGAGGGCATAACGCCTGCATAGCTGACTATGCCGCGCGAGAAGTGTGTTTGATTAAATTCGTATTGCAGCAGCAGCGTGTGGCCGAAGTCGCTGCCATCGCACAAAAACCAAACGGAGCCCAGGCCATCGCCTTGCTGAAACGACTCGGTGCAGATAATGGCACGCGCCTTATCGGCCAGCTCGCCGCGATGATACTCCTCATCCTGCCTCCAGGGATTTCTGTTGACAATCTGTAGCTCCAAGGAGATATCGCCGATGGCGTCCACTAAACAATCGTCTTTCAGTGGACTCCCAGTTAGATCCATATCCGTATTAGTTTCTCCACGCTCCGATTTCAATATTAGCTTGGTGGGCGTGGTTGTTGCGGTGCCGCCTCTGCGATCTTCCTTGTAGAAGAAAACAATTTTATTTGTTGATTCGCGCGCGCCCACCAATCTGGTCAAATAACTAGGCGGCGCACTATACGTGACGGTATAATTATCGCCATATTTACGTAATAGCTCAGCGTAAATATTCGCAAGATTAACAGACATTATGTACAAACAAATAAATAAAATTGAGCAAAAATTAGAATCGAATGCCGCCTTGCACACAAAAAATGGCATCCAAAAATTTAACATTTTGCGGAACTGTTATTAACAGTGTGTATTACAAAATCATTGGAAAACTGCCGCTACTTTCTTAAGCAAAACAATCCTTTCGTTTATTCTGCTGGTAGTATGCTTAAAAGCACAATTGTTTTATTAACGGGGCGTAATATAAAATCAAAACACCATAAAATAGGTGCTTAGTTTGAATTTAACAGATGCATTTTTTTGTAAGTCGAGCGTCATAACAGTGCGCCCAATTTATTTCAGTGTTGCATTCAAACTACTATCAATCCTAATATTACGTTGCAAGACAAAAGCTAACTGCAGCAGAGTCTTACAGCGCGCATCACCCTGTTGTTTTAAATATTATCGATAAAAATTTTCACGGCTTGCACGTGTTGACTTTGTTTTTATTTAGTCTTACTCTGGAAATATAATTTTTAAGCATGTCCGACTTTGAATTACAAGACAGTGGCTCAGAATACGATTCCGACGACAATTCTGATGCTGAGGTATATAAATAAAACAATCAAACAAGTTTGTACACACTGAGAATCAACTTTTTTTACAGCTGCAAGCGGCTTTCGAGCGTGGCGAACTAAAACCTGGTCTCAATGTTGAATTCAGCGGACAGCGCGATAAAGTTAATGATATTGTAAGTAAATTCCATTAAATTAGATTGATTATCCTAATATTCGCTGCCATTTACAGACTAAACTGTTAGCCAAAACACATGCCATACGCCTCGAGCTGCCATGGCTGGAGCGCCTAGACATGGTCAACAGTCTAGCGCCTTTAGCACCCGAGCTGGCTGTGCAGCTAGAGAAGCACGAACAGAAGCGTGCCAATCAATTCAAAGGCAATGCCAAAATACCCTATATGCGCCCCGAAGAGGATCCCGTGCTGAATGATTTTAAGCGCGAAATGCTCTTTCATCGCCAGGCACAAAGCGCTGTGATTGAAGGCATCCAGCGGCTGCAGGAGCTTGGCATCAAGACACGTCGTCCCGATGATTATTTTGCTGAAATGGCCAAGTCCGACGAGCATATGCAAAAGGTCCGTGCCAATCTGATGGCAAAACAGCAGGGACAGGCCAAATCAGAACGCATTAAACAAATACGCGAACAGCGTAAAATGGGCAAAATGCTGGCCAAGCAGACCAAGGTGCAGCGCGAGGCCGAAAAGAAGGAGATGCTTGATAAGCTGAAAAAGTTCCGCAAGGGCAAGCTAAAAAACCTAGACTTCCTGGAGGATGCCAAGGCGCTGGAATCCAAGCAAAAGCATTCGGCGGATAAACGCAAGCAGCGGAACAAAAGGTTCGGGTTTGGTGGCAAAAAGAAGGGTCTAAAACGCAACACCAAGTCCTCTGCAGCTGGACTCGAGTCGGAAAAGTCGACACGTCGCCAGCGCGGCGTCAAAGCGGGCGCCTCGGTAAACAAGCGGCTGGGCAAATCCAGGCGCATGAAGGCAAAGGGCAGAAAGTGAATGAGTATCGTCAAGCTTATGATTAGGTGACCGAAAACTAGATTTTAAAAAATGGCTCCGTTTAGATTTATTATAACTAAATACATTTTGTATGTACATAAAAGCTAAGGCTATCCCGCTATTCCACTTGCTTATGCTTCTTTTTCTTTTTTTTCGGCTTGACAGGCGGCTCGTTTTCAGCGCTGGCACTTTCCGACTGGCGCTTTTTGGAGTTTGCTTGTGGCTCCTGCCCCAGCTCATTATCCAATCGTTCGCTGACATTCTCAGACGCCACCTTATCCGAATCCATGTCCTTCTTTCGCTTCTTTTTGATTTTGATTGTTTTGTCAGCCTCTTCTTTCGGTGAACTCGGTTGGCCCCGCAGCTTGGACAGCATCTCGTGCTCTTGTGGATCCATCACACTCTCAACTTTGTCGGAAACATTCTCAGGCGCCGCGTTATCGTATGCCACACATTTGTCCTTCTTACGCTGCTTTTTAATTTTGATTGGTTCATCGGCCTCCTCAGAGGCAGCCTCTTTAAGTGCACCCTTTTTACCCTGAAGCTTGGCGAGCATCTCGCGCTCCTGTTGCTCCAAGCGCGCCAGTTTGCCGCTCAATTTGAGTCCGTGGCGTGCTCCCTTGTGTGCGGTGCGTCCGCCGCAAGCCTGGAATAGCTCCTCATCTGTCAGGACATGAACTTTGGTAACAGCAATGTCTTCCGTTTTAATGCGTTCTGCGTTGGCCACTTCGCCACCGTCTTGGGTTAGCATGGCAGATTTGAGAAAGTGCTCATAAACGGCGCCACCATCTGACTTGCTTTGATGATCCTTGGCCCTTTTCAGTTTACGTGCTGAATACCCTTTGGTAGAGATTTCCACTGCATCTACGCCTGCTTTGCGTGCTGTACTCACATGGCCATTCTGCTCCACTTGCACGGTCACGTTTGATGCCGCCTCGTTGAAGCAGCGCTCCCACCAGTGATTATTGAATTCTGTGGCACGATCAACGCCCAGGCCCGCATTGTCAAATTTTAAGCTAGCTTTCAGTGGAGCCGCAATTCCATTATTGTGCTTTCCCAAGCCATCGCCCTCTTTCCAGCCGTATTTACCTAATATTTTCTTAGCAAAATCCATTGAACAATGTGATTTTTAATTAGTAAGTTATCGTTTGCATATTTCAAATTTATCGATAGCCGTTAGCAGGGTTGCTTATGCGGCTGGACAGGGATGCACTTTAAGCGCCAAAATTCAAATGTACAATCTAAGAATGCTCAACCCTCTTGCAACAAAAGTTGCTCATTTAACATTATAAAATAATAAAAAATACAACTCGTGCTTCCTTAACACATTCATTTTTCCTTTATTTCACAATCGTTCAAATACCTATATTTCTGTTGTTCTAGCCAATAGAACAAACTCCACTTTATTCGACTATATGACAATGATTAAGTGGCAATTAAAAAATGTTTAAACAAAAAAGAAAAACAAGTTTTAAATACAATAAACTTAAAGAAACGTTATCAGTACGCGCCACATAAATTCAAAAATAACAGAGACACGAAAGTAACCACACCACGCCTTCGTCAACGCCCAGGATCTCAATTGAGGCACAAAAAAGTTGCACGTACTGCCCACGCCGCCTCAACGGATGTTATCGTCAAGGCAATTGGGAGAGAGAGAGAGCTGGGTAGCACGCTCAACCTTCTCGCTGTATGGTAAAGGCGCAGCGGAGATGCAAGTGTCGTGTTCTGCGTGTGGGGCTGCTGCTGTGTGAATTTGAAGCTTGCATTGATTAAAATTTAATTTTAATGTTTACAATTTCAATCTCAACTTTTCGTTTAAATCGTGTCTTCGTTTTGTTTGTCTCTTTAACCGAGTTTTTTCCAATGTTTTCTTTTTTATTAGCAGTGTATTGTTTCTTTTTTTTTCTTTTTGGTTTCAACTTAAATAAAAGTGTGTTCTTCCTGCGCGATGATCTTTTGCTAGGCTTTTTTAGGCGATTACTACAGTTTCGAATGTTTTTTAAAAACAAAATTACATATATTATGTGGTTGTTGTTGTTATTTTATAATTAGATAGTACAGGATGTTGTTGGCTATCAATCATTTATCAATAATAATCGAAAAACGAACGTTGGTTGTTGGTTGTTTTGTGTTTCTTCTATACGTTGCTTTCTCGCTGCCGCTGATTGCCGTTAGAATGCGGTTTGCCATCGAGATAGGAATATCCAATCCCAATATCGCCCACACACAAACACACTGCAAACAATTGCACGAAAAACTAAGGACGAGTAGAGCGGCGCTTAGAAGGCGAACAGCAGCAGGAAGGCCATCATAAGACAGAACAGACCCATAGCCTCAGACAGGGCGAAACCCAAAATGGCATAGGAGAACAGCTGCTGTTTCAACGATGGGTTTCTGGCATAGCCAATGATGAGGGAACCGAATACTGTTCCGATACCAGCACCTGTTGTATTGGTTGTCATTGTCATAGTAGCAAGCGCACAATATATAGGAGAAAAATGTTGAGAAAAAGAGACAAAATAGATTAATTAATTCGTACAGAAAATTGGTTTATATTTAAGTCGCATCGGCAGTTGCCGACGGATAGGCATAGGCTCCATATGGAGCTATATGCACAAAGCGATTTGGATTTGCATCAAAATCCAACTCTGCCGGTTGGCCTTTTTCATCTCTTTTATTGGGTCAGTCAGTCACAGATTAGTCTGAATTGAGTTCTGCGCACCTCAGGCAAGGTTTGCAGCAAGCACATCGCACTTAAATTGCTGGTCACGAAAGTTTTCAATGCAACATGGCCGGCGGCAAGCGGCAAGCGCTGCGGCAACAGCCATACTGCAGCTTTTCTGGTACTTTCGCCTTGTGATTACACAAGTTTCCGGCTAGGAAATGAAGCTCCGCGACACACAAGAACCTCTCAGCGCTTGTATGTTGTTACAGCAACATGGGAGCTTTGACCATATCTCAGACCTTCCCGGGGCGTTTTAAAAGAGTAATCAGATACTCGTTGTGTGTGCCCCAGATGCTAGATTGTAACTGACTGTAGCGATGAACATAGCCGCTAGGCAGGATTGGACAAATTAAATCATGGTAAGATGGTAGTGTATCAGACAAGTCGCTTAACAATTGGTAACCAATACAAACCGGAACCAGCGACACCGACTGTTGCAGCACCAGCACCAATGAATTTGGCAGCCGAATCAATGTCACGCGTGACTGGCGAGGTCTGGAATGACCTGATCTGTGGCAGTAATGCTACGGGGGTTGTGTTCTGAGCGACCAAGGTTTGGCTCTGGCTGATAACGGCGCTGCTCAATGGTCGCAAGTATTGCTTGGAGTTGGCGAGGAGCTGTAAAAATATACGAAAAATGGTTAAATTATATAATAAAACACAAACGAGAGTGCTTCGTTTGCTCTTCATCTGAGATAAAAAGTGTTGTTGTTGTTGTTGTTGACTTTGCGCGTTGCCATTGCCAAGTTATGCAATGAGTTAAGCAATTTGGATTTTAGCCATTTGGCTATAGCATTTGTTGACATTTTAGAAGGCGGCAAATCAATAATTAACGTTGCTCATTTATATGCATTTTGTTTCTAGTTGAGAATAAATTCATGCTACTATAGGAAATTTCTTGGAAAGCTTTCACCGGTTCTAACCTCAACTACAAGCAGTAACAACGTTAATGTAACTTGTTATACAACTCCTACAGAGTATTTAAATCGCTAAGAATTAATGCCAAAATTGATTAGATTAAATGCAAATTCCCTTTAAATTGTTTAAATTGCACGGATTAAATAGGTGCACCTATAAATTGCACATAACCTCAAATCTCACATTCAACTTATGTAACTGTATGTGTTTTCCATTGGAATTCGAAGTCACCACACAGTCGCAGCATAGAAGTTTTTTCTTAACGAGCAGTGAAAATCGATGCGGCTATAGAAAATTATGTAATTAATAGCAACATTAGCACACATAACTTTCTATCTCACTGAATAACTTTATCTATTTTGTACTTACCACGGTCCTGGCAACCGGGGCAATGCGAGAGACTGTCGACACGAACATTTTTAGTTGAATTGTAATTGGCGTTTCGCACAAAATTGAAGCAAGCGCACGGAGCTCTGCAAAAGATATAGATGTAGATGTCTTGTAAATATATAGATTTATTTATATATATATGCATATTTGTTGCGAATCGCTGCTGCAAATGCCGCTGCCCGCCTGCAAGTTGCTGTTGGTTACGTAATGTGAAAAAATTTATATATCCACTCGAATTCGCAGTTCTCAACAGAACTAGACGCACTATTCAATTACAATTATTTAATTTGAATTAAACTTCACTGGATCTACTAAAACTAACAGTGATTTCCTTCAACCGTTGAACTTTTCTAGTGACGCAACGAATTTACACTCGCACACTACAGCACAAAACACACTGACAGTTCTCTTCATACGTCCGTGTGACATCTTGTGTGAATGTGTGTATGTGCCGCAAGATGGCGACACTGAACACGTTTGAAAAAATATTTTCACTCATAATGTAAATTGGTCACAGTTTTTCACTTTAATTTGTAACTAAAATTGTACATTTAAAATCATGTTCAAGCATTTTCATTCGGCACTGATTATTCAACCAGCAGCAGAAGGCATGGCGGCGGGTGGTGCAGGGGTGCTCCACATTTTCAATTTTCAGCGTAAGATTGCCGTCCAACTCACTTCGAACAAACCCTTAACAACAGTGGAACCGTATTGAACGCGAAATTTTACTTTACCCTACAGTCGCCATGCAATTCTTGCTCGTGGTGAATTGGAAAGCCACCTGGAAAGTCATGGGCACATGAGCGCCTATCGATAACAACATGTGTATTTGCTAACCCAAATAGAGGTGTTACCATTAAATAACAAAAGCTTATAAATAATATTTAAGAGGTTAGCCATTATATTAATTAATTTATAATAAAGTTATCAGCAGATGACACTAAATTGCCATATACCATATACTTTAAAACATAATACATACATATATATATATATGAAGTTTTATCAAGTTAAGAATATTACAATTTTCTAACATCAATTTCATTCCCATCCGCGGTTCTGTTGAGGTTCAAGGTAAATTCTGTATATTTACCTTAAATATCTTCAGATTATTTGCGATAAAATTCTTCGACTATAAATGCAAGCCTGTTCTGTGGTGAATTGGAAATAAACTTGGAAGTTGATACCGGTCTTTCTTATCAGCCCTGAAATTAGGCTTTTCGTTAATAAATTATTAAAGTACTTAATTTGGATCGACAAGATTATTTTAGAAATGTTGACTTGCAACTAATGTGACAAATCTGAACGTCAACACAATCCTACAAACAGTGTTGCATCCAATCTAAGCAAACTGAGCAAATTATATCTTCGATTGAAAAATTTGCGCGCCTGAATTTTAAATATGGTGTTTAAATATTGCGATTTTTTGTATTAAATAAAAAAGGTGATCAATTTTATTGCAAATTTTGCTAAAAACAACAAACATTATAAAACAAAATTTGATTGTCTACTAAAAACACTTACCACTCGCTGACTCTTAATCGATTAGGTATCGAATGTGTATCCAGCCCTGGTCCGCATACAGCCACGCGTCGTGGTGTCGTCACGTCGTCTGGATTATGTTATAATTTGAGCTACTTAAAATCCAGCATAATTGAAACAGGATGCTGTAAGTAATGGACGCAACCGCAGTGCTTTTAATAATACGCATATCATAAACGCCATATTGAAGTATTCATATTTCGTGTTCTGTATCATTGCAGCCCTCAATTGCATAACAGCGATTTTGCATAAGTGTGTATGTGTGTGTGCGTACGGCCAGGGAGGATACACACAAATACATACTAATCGACGGAACGTTTCACAATTCATTTTACTGGATCATCAATAATATAAAACAAATTCGATATACGCTGCATATTGCATTTTTGCTGGAGTTAGTTGATTGGATAATTTTGTTGCAACAACGCCGCAAATTTGTTTTGGCTGCTATCGAACATATTGTATATATCGATAGTTAACTGTATGCGATAATTACCATAACCCACAGTATTTGTTTGAGCAATCTTAACTGTTAGTAACAGTACAGCCGCCTGTTAAGTTCTTGAATGCCAGAAACATAACATTAAACAAGCAGTGACACTTACATAACGCGCAGTCACAGTCGTACGTCGAGTGATATGGCCGTGTTTCTGATCAACATCTGCAAATTCAATGGCTGTTTTAAAACTTTTCCAAGTCTAGGCGACTTAATATCACACATCGAGGGAACACACATAGGCAAGTATTTGAAAAACAAAAATTTGTGTGATAAAGTGAAAAAGTGTTTCAAAATACCGATGACAAACAACATTAATTAGTCGCGTGATGCACGGGGCGGCTCGACGCTGTCACTGACGCCGCAGACGTCGTCGGCAATCTGTGTTTTGTTTATTTAATTTATTTATATGTACATAGTATATACATATTCTGTTTGTGCGCGTGTGTGTGTGCGTGCATATACTGAATGAATAGTAGGTACATTTGGAGTGTGTGCGTGTGAATGCATGCCCGTTGCAGCGTTTCGGTACATAAATAAAATATTGTTTTCGTTCGTTTTTAATGCCCAGCCCTGAAATCAATTTTAGCAGACAAACACATACATAGACTTGTTAATGCTAGCAAATATATTGCTACGGTGCAATAATATCAAAGTGTGCCATGGAAAATCAATATGGCCAGGCCTTTAATACGCACGCACGTTTTAATGCGTACGCGTCGTCGCCTTCAATTGAAACAAGCGAGCGCATTCACAATAGGCGGCAAGCCAAGCTGAATTACCTGTGCCCGCTCACACACACATACACATGCATATAAACGTCCATTCGTGGCATGTACAGCATTCATTCTACACAGTAACACACTCACATAAATGAATATGCTTGCTTTAGATTGGCCAACTATACAAGTGCGAGCGAGAACGCAATTGCGTGGCAAGCAAAAACAACGAAAGCAAGCAAAAAGCCGGTGATCCATTAAACAACAACACTGCATATGTGCTGGCTTAAGTGTGTGTGTGTGCATGTGTGTCTGTGCTTGTAACCCGCCAGCGTAGCAGCAGCAGCATCTGTACCCCAGCCGGCAAGGGCAAGTGAGCGCCTTTTTTCGTTTGTGTTCTGTGTGTGTGTGTGTTTGACCTGTCTCTGGCTTGGTCTTGGGAATTGAGCGCGTCTCTTGCAGGTGCCAACACCTGCTCAATCCACGCATCTCAACGTCAAACTGCTACGAAAGCTCTGCGCCAATTGCACCCACGCACGTTATGCGTAATCAATTCTTGTCAATGCTGTGGCCCATACACCCGTCTCCGATTACGTGCATTTCACTACAGTGAAAGTTCCTCTAATGGGACAGGGCGGGCGCGAAATCTATTTTCTGTCCTAGGCGGACAAATTTTCTTCCAAATAACTGGTAGATAGAAAAGTTTCCAAACATTTGTTTTTATTAATCATTTTCATAGTTTGAAATGTGCAAAAATTTGTAAAAGTATTATCTATTTATTTGTACATGGATGTCCGCTCAAGAAAGTTTTCACTGTAACCAAGTTACGTGAACCAATTACGTCTTTCGGAGAGGAAAAGCAACGTAGGTAGCCGGGGTGTCAAAACAAAAATGTCTAATTTTAGATCAGGTACTTAAGCAGCAGCGTCGTCAGCGTGTGTGTGCGTGGTTGCAAGGGGGTGGAAAATCAATAAAATTAAGCTCAGTGTTGCCACTTGGCTACAATGGTGTGGCGATGGGTGTCTGTGGGAATGGGGGTTGTGCGAGTTAAGTGCGCGCAGGGGTGTTATTTATGGTGGTGGTGCGAGTGGCGGAGCTGTTCCAGCACACTCATGTATATTTGTGCTTCATTTATATTTGTATATACTTTCATATGCATGGTATGTGCGTAAATAAGAGTTGGGCGCGTATCGTGCTTTCGTGACAGGAACACGCACGACTCAACACGACGCGTTCGTGGTAACACGCCAAATAAATCTCATGCTAATAAATGAAAAAAGTCGTGTTAGTATTGGTGCTAAATATAGTACTATAACTATTTAAACAAAACTCAAATGAAAGATTTATAAAACTCGAAAAAAATTTTTTACAAATATTTACAAATAATAATAATAAAAGTACAAAAACTCATGAGTGTCGTGTTGGGTATACAAATTGTGGACGCAACCCACACATACCGCGTACTGTTTTTCAAAGAAAGACTCCACGCGCCCATCTCTAGCGTCAGTGTAGGGGTGGTATCAAGCTCAGCTGATTATTACGGCTAAAAGTTAGCAGCTGTTTGTTGTTGCTGCTGCGTCTGCGGCTGCTGCTGTGATAACGGTCAACAGCAAATGGCGCGTTGACGGGCGCTCGCTAGCATTACATAAAGTTGGTAAGGCTAATGGGTCCTCGCACACGCATCGCCCTTGGCAACAAGACTCGCAATACATAAATACATACATATACATACATATATCTAATATGTTATGTGCCCATAAGCTTTGAGAAAGATAACAGCTCGAAGGACTTAAGCTGTTTACCTATTTACATAGTGTATATCAATAATACATATGTATTTGCTTGGCCCAGTTTGACGTTTGTCTCGCGCTTATCGCATCGCACCATCTACGTACGCTCTTTTAGCTTGACGGGTGTTGGGAGGCAATTTCAATTTTTTCACAAGTTCCTTTTGCTGCTATGGCAACGCTGCCGCAAGACCTTCAAGTTTGTCCTTTGCACAGTTGCCAGGCACCTGTTGTGCATACACACACACAGGCGCACACACTCACATGCATACATAAATACGATGCGGCACACGCGCCCTGTAATTTTATCGATAACATGTGCCGCTGTGAAATGCAATATGCCGTTACATATTTTGCAATATTTCTACATGTTCCAAGCAGGTCTGGAATGTTGTTAATGCAATTGATTGTAATTATTCGGTTTGTTATTCCAGTCATCGACATTTTGGGCACTGTTTATCAAATTTCGATATGTGCACTGGAAAACATTGCACGCCCAAAAAACAAATACACAACATCTGTACATACATATGTATATTGATATGTGTATGTGTGTGTATAATTATTATCTGCTTAAAAAAAAAGAATAAGAATTCTGCAATAAGTGAATGACTCAGATGACAACGCAAAAGCAATAAGAATAACAGGAATAATAACGCAGCGTTGTTGTTTATGTTTATTTTGTTTTTAAAATGCGAATGTATAGCAGCGGTATACACATGCATATTTATACGTATGTGTGTGTATGTATGTATAGCTAGATCAAATTTGTTTAAAAACAAATGCGCTGCTTCTTATTCAGTGTTCGAAAATTTGATAAACAAATTGCCAGCTGAATAGTTGGCATCTAGCGCAAGGCATGTGAGAGAGAAACAAGAACCGCTAGACGATTGCCTAAGGTTATCAACAATAGCAAAAAGCAACAATAACAAATAACAATAATAAATTTGAAAAAAAGATTGTTAACTGATTTGAGCGTAACAAATGACGCCGTTTATGCGTTTGTGGGTGGTGGTTGTAGTCGAAGGCAGGGGCATACCATTGATTTCATCAGCTAAAAAACAATAAGTTTTAACAATAAATTGTTAAGTAACAATTTAAAATTTCTATTTGCGGTACGTGTGTTGTCCGTTGCGAATGTTTCAACAATTGCAGGGCACGTAGTCATAATTTTAGTAATAGCAACTGATAACGCACACTCATTAATACAGGCTACAGGCACATACATTTACATTATATGCGGACATATGTTCTGATCTATTTTTTAATTTGTCGCATATGATTCATATTTGTTTGCAAACACAGCAAAAAGATTACATTGCTATCGACTCAATTTGTGTTATCGTCGTGCGTGGGGTGGATGCGTGGGAGGGCGCCCAACGATAATTGGACTGGGGCAAACGATGGGGAGGATATTTCGATTACCTGTTGCACGCCAATCGATTGCATTTTGTGTGCAGGGTGTTTCGAGTGCAAAGAGCGAATGTGATTGGCTGTTTGTAATAAATAGTAATTTCATGTGCGCTGTCGTGGAAGTTAGGTTACCCCCACACACACATGCACACACACACACACACACACACACACACACACACATCACCTATGCGCCGCTGTTATGCACTGGCTGATTGAGCAGACTTTGAGCTTATGCTTGTCGTCGGTTCGCACGATTAGATAGTCACACACATGTGCTCGCCTCGCTGCGAAGCCCCACTTCCCTGCACACACCCCTATGCACAACAGTAATGTATGTGTGCATAATCACAAGACCCCCATAAAAATGCGTCAGCAACCGCATCATGAGCGCAGTAGGACAGTCGATTCAAAATATTACATGCGTTCACATTTATTTATTCATATTATTTTAGCCAGTGCTGGTGTCTGGTGCGTACCCCTTACCCTTGCATCCTCTCCGGTCTGTAATGTTAGAGATGAGAGTGTGTCGTGTTTAAAACTCGTGAAAATCAACATCGCAAAAAAAAACCTAACCTTTTAAGAAAAAAAACTCAAACTTATCTTTAAATTGTTAAACAACCCACAAATAGGCTTCGTGTTGCGCTCAAAAAAAAAAAACTTGAACAAGCGCTCGTCTCTGTGTTACAAAGTGATTGAACTTGTTTTAATGTATAATAAAACCGTATATTAAAGCAAACTCAGAAAGAAAAAAACATTTATAATTGATGGCATTTTGAAATGATTTTTGTATGCAGGTTATTTGTGTGCACCCGTATTGGGTTTCAAATTGGATTATAAATATATATATATATACATATATAGGCATATAAAGCATGCTAATGGTATTTCCTCGCTCCCCCTCTGTAGACTATGATCCTAAGGTGGTCGAGCAAAAGGAGCTGGCACCGCCCCCGTCTCTGCCGCTGAGCTATGTGCTGCGCTTCATCTCAGATGATGCACGCAAGGAACCTTCCACTTTTCTGTCCAACACCACCAACAATAACAACAGCGCCAGCAACACCGGCAGCAGCGGCAATGCGGGCAACGCAGAGCTCAAGCGAAAGCTGGCCATTAAGCATCATAGCTATAGCATGTCCTCGTCAAATCGTAGCAACACGCCCACAGGTACGTCCCCATGCTTCAATTTAAATAAGTACCAGTCTCAAACAACTCACACTTTTGTAGGCAGCGAAATGGACGAAGATGAAATGGTTGTCACCGAATCGGAGGATAGCAATGACTCTTGGACCACCGAGGAGTTTAGCTCGGAATTTATTATGCGTTATGGTAGCAGGTACGTTCGGCTTAAAAAATTAATAATATGTGATCCAACTTAACGTATGTGTGCTATACATTTGCAGGCATTCCGGTGGCGGCAGCAATGGCACGCCTGGCAATGAAAAACCTTTTGCGTGTCCCGTGCCCGGCTGCAAGAAGCGTTACAAGAACGTGAATGGCATTAAATACCATTCGAAGAACGGCCACAAAAAGGACGGCAGGTTAGCGACCAAAAACAAGTTAGCAACAATAAGCACACAAAACTCATTTGCCCATTCCCATATACGAATTCCACAGAGTGCGTAAGGGCTACAAATGCCACTGCGGCAAGAGCTATAAAACGGCGCAAGGCCTGAAAAACCATGCACTGCTCACCCACAATACACAGCCAGAGAGCGTTTTAACCGCTGAAAATGTGATTAGATGCAAACCGGAGAACAATAACAGCAGCAACAGCAGCAGCCTGGCCGGTAGCAACAATGCTGGCAGCAACAATGTCGGCCTGTTGCAGCGCAGCAATTCACCATCGCAGTCGCTGGGCTCGCTGAGTCCCTCCAGCAGCAACATGTCGAGCAGCACCAGCACCAGCTGTCACGGCGCTGGCAGCTTGGGCAGCAATAGCTTGTCTAGTAATGCTGCCACTGCCACCAACATGTTGCAGCAGCTTAGCAATGGTAACATTGTGACTGTCACAAATTTGCCACAGCAGCAGCAACAAGCACTGCCGCAACAGCAACAGCAGCAGCAAATGAGCGTCAGCACACTGTCGCAAAACGCCACAGCAACAACAACAACAGCAACAGGTAACAGCAACAACAGTTTAATGCGCAGCACACTCGGTTTAGTATCCATTAAAGCCAACAACCACAACAACAACAATAATGTTGCCGCTGTTGCTGGCGGCAACAACAGCAATACAAAGTCCGTTAGCAATTTAATAGCTGCCAATGCAACGGCCAACAAAATACTCAAGATAGCCACCAACGTGGCCAACGGCGTGGATATTGCACAGCAGCATAAATTGGTTGACAGTAACATCTCCAAGGCAAACGGCAGCAATGCGACAAACGTGGCAACAGCTGCCGTTGCCAGCAGCAACACGCCCACTAAAATCACGTTGCCCAATTTGGTTAACCTAGGCATACTAACGCCGGCCACCTCGCCCACCAAGAACACACAAACCTTGACTTTCACCACCACGGCCGGCAGCCAGCAACAGCAGCAACAACAACAACAGGCTCTGGTGGCAACGCTAACGACCAACATGCTACAGCAGCAACAACAGAAGTTGCCCAAGACAAATATATTGCTGCTGCAGGAGCCAAACACGATTAACACACATCTAATACAGTCGCCGCCACAGCAGCAACAACAGCAACAGCAACATGTGCTGCCCATCAGTCCCACAAGCAGCATTGGCAGCAGCAAGAGCAGCTCACCCACACCACCCCAACAACAACAGCAGCAGCAGCAGCAGCAGCAGCAACAACAACAACAACAACAGCTGCACAAGAGCTCAGCTGCTGCTGTTTTAAAACAAAAGCATGTCATGGTTAACAACCTGTCGGCGACAGCAGTAGCCTCAGCAACAGCATCAAGTGCATCCAGCGTCGAGCCGATGGATACGGATGAAGCGGCAATTGTTGCTAGCGATATGTTAACTTTGACGAACAACAGCATCTTGAATTCAAATGCTGCCACTGGCACAGTTGATGGCAAGGATATGCCCTCGACTATTGCAGCGACTGTCACTACGGGCACCATCACGCTGGCGGCTATTGAAGTTGTTGGCGCCGGCATTGTCAACAGCGAAACGTAGCCTATACTCAAGAAACTACTAATGCGCCGTCAGTGCGCGCTAGAGGCGGCGCCTGCTTTATCAAACTAAAAAGCAAGCGCCGCTTCTCGTATACGAACAAAAAAAAGGGCAACATATACAACAAAAAAAAAAAAAAAAAAAAAAAAGGAAAAAACAGTAAACATTCTAACAATACACTGTAAAGGAACAAATTTGTTCTCACTGCTTAGTTAATGTACTCAATTTTTAGTTATTATAACTTTAAGGTACGCCCCCACTTCCACTCGCTTGAGTGAGTTAAAGGCGGGGGATGGGGGCGTTGTCACTCACCAAAACCCATTGGAAAAACATTTTGTAGACTGCTTTTTAATTTTTGGCTTACCATAGACCAGAGCATATATAAATTGTCTCTTAAATATTTGTATTATGTACTATGGAAACGCGAATCGTATAGATTGTGCAATATGATTTTGTATACAACATTTTTAGTTAGCGATTAACGGCTGATCTCCACTTAATTTAATTTAGTCTTAGTTAAACAATATATAGACGAAACGATTGCAAACAACACGCAACACAATTGTAATAAACAGCATAATATTTGAATTTATTTTCCAAGCTAACAAACACTTTTATTATCAGAGCCAGACTAAATGTATGTGTATTATATGATATAGAACTGCAAAACAAAAGTATTATTTATATTTAAGCTCTAGCAAAATGAATTTCATATAGTAACACACATATTTTAATATACACATATATATCTAGCTAATTAATAAGCATTTAGCTTAACATTTAGCCCACAGACCTCTCGTGTATATTTTTAAGTTAACACACATTTCAATACTTTCCACTTTGGTGCAATAATATGTTTTTGTTTTTATCATCTCGCAATTTTTACACAAATTATGTTTCTGTTGGTTTTTTTTTTAATATTTGGTTTGCCTTTTGGTTTTTATTTTATGATTTCGTTACTTCTTTTCCTTTTCTCTCTACCTATTGCAGAAACCTCTTACTCCTGCTCACACAACAACAACAGCAACAGCAGCAGCGACAGCAGCAAGCAACTTGCAACAGCCGCAACTGCAACAGCCAAGTACAATCGGCCCACAGCAGCAGCCGCTACAGCAGCACCAAGCAAAACGTCGTCGTCAGCGACCACGCCCATGCAAATCTCGTACACCTTCATTGAGCACAAGTATTCCCTGGGTTTTAAAGAGAAATTCCTGTCGAATCTTCGCGCCAGCCGCAACGCATCTGGTGGAGCGTCCAACGGCGACCAACTGGCCGCAACAGCTGCTGGCATTGGGGCAGAGGCAGCAACGGTTGGCACAGTTGGTAGTGGCAGCGGTAGCGCCAATCCCAACGCTGGCAACATGCTTAGCGCTGTTGCTGTGGGCCAAATGTGCGCGCTGCAGAACGAGCATATACATCAAAATCTCTACAAGAAAACAATCAATTGAGAGTGTGTGTGTGAGATGAGATAAGACCGGATCAGATCAGTTCAGTTCAAATTTGGGCACAGATCGGACCGCATATATAGAGAGTTGGCTGTGATGAAGTAGTTTTATGTCTGAGGAGAGCAAGAGGATTTGTCAAGAAAGCAGTAGAGAATTAGGAAGAGAGAAGCATTAGGAGAGCAAATACGCAAGTTTTCATGCCGTTCAATAATATTTTAAACAAATGAAAAAACAAACACAAACAAAACACAATTTATTTTTCTATATAAATGTAAAAAAAAAAAAAACTAGCAAACACTTTCGCACATTTCACAAACTTTAACCAAGTCTAAAAAACAACGATTGGCAGTAACAAAAACAAAAACACAAATATATATATATAAAACCTCTCTCTCTCTCTTAACTTTGCATTAGAGAATTAAAAAAAAAAAAAAAACAAACAAAAGCAAAACCCCATTTAAAAATTAACCATATAATTTAGTGAATACATTTTTGAAGTTGTTTCTTCAACTAGTCATTATCGTAGTTAAATTAAATTTTTTGATTTACATGCACATCTAGAAATTTATTACCAACTCAACTACTGTGGCTACTGTATTATGTAAGATCGCAAACGATTTCGGTTACCACGTAATAGTTGGTTTATATAATTTTCATACAAAAAATTCATCAAATTGACAACAGAAACATAAAATGTCGTTTTCTGCACATTAGTTAAATTTTTCGTTAGGCACGAAGTTAAATTTGCCAAAAACTTCGTGTAAAGTAAAAAAAATATTGTATCGAATATGCAAGCAAATAAAATAGCTAGCTACAAATTACAAATAAAATATAAAAAAAAAAAACATTGAAAGTGAAGGAATACAAAAAAAAGAAGCATAATAGAAGAGAAGCTTAAAAGCTTCAACTGTTTCCGTTTAGAATCCACAATAACTCTATGGTAGTTATAGTATTATATGATATAAATTATATATATATATATTTGTAGTTATATGTGTGCACATTTAATTTATATATGAAATAATTATATATGTTCTCTATTCATGTGCGTGTCTCTGTGTGTGTCTGTACGATTATGAAATTGATATAATGATTGTCTTAATTCAAATTTACGATCGTCCTTAAATGTAATACATTTTATAATCCTATATATATATATATATATAGCTGTATGTTCTATTTCTATGATGCGAGTCATATTCAAAGTATTTTATGCATGCATACAAAATTAACATTAATAATTAGAAACTATTTAAAACATAACAAAACAACAAAATATGGAAGTGTTAGTCGCCCCCAACAATAAAAAAAATATGTAATTGGGTTCCTTATGTACGAATAATGCATAAAATTGAAAGAAATGAAAGAAAAACATGATACGAAACAGAACAAATTAATTGACATTTTTAATATATACACTACCTTATACAAACATATAAAAATAATTATATAAATATATATTATATATATATATACATAATATTAATGAATAATTAGTATACCTAAAGCCGCCAACCGCCAAACAACAAATTTTGATGCGCATTTGCAGACGCCCAGCGTCTTAAATTAGACTACAAATACTACTAAATAATAAATGTGCCCCCCTCCCAAAACGTATATAAACTATCTTTAAGACCACACGCTTATGCGGCTTTAACCGGCCGATATAGTTTAGCTATCAACTTTTATATCAACAAATAAAATGAAAACAACGTAAAAAGCTATGCTTCGGCTCACCGAAGCTGACATACCCTTGCAGATCAAATTTAATACAATCAATCAAGTTATTGAGAGACACATTCGTCCTTCCGCTATTATCATAGACTCTTATCAAAGAGTCGAAAAATATTCTGCATTCACAACAAGTTTTCTATCCGTGCGATCTGTAGGCGTATACAAAAACACTTTTGCGCTACAATATAAAAACTGAAATAGGCAAATAAATAAACCTTGGAAACCAACTCAAACCTTCTAATGAAAACAATAAATTAAATATATACCTATTTCTATATTTAAATGTATTTCATCTTATATAAGACTGCTGTTATGTTCGTAAATATATTTAATATATATTATAATTAACGAAAAATATAAACCATACAACACATAATAAATTATATGAAGAAAAAACAAAAAAAAAAAATGCAAGCTACATGAATAGTTAGTATATTCATACTCAACCTATATACATACGACTATGTACTATACTATATACATATATATATATATATATATTAAATGTACTGTAGTTTACTAAAACTCGTTATTATGTACATGTAGAGAAATATTTGAAGCGTATGTGTATGCAACCATCAAAAATCAACTTATATTGTAACAAGGGCTAAAGTTGTAGAAACTTGAAATATGACGGGTTTTAATATCAAGTAACCTAACTACATAAAAAAACGACATCATCATTAACATTATCATCCACAAACAAAAAATAAAATAAAGTAGTAAAATATTCTCTTTTTGCTTTATGTGATCTATTATACATATACATTAAAACATACATAACTACATACATATATATCTATATATGTACAATAAAAAATGTCCTTTGAAAAAAATACAACATTATTTTCATTTTTGGTTGAAATGTGTTAAGTGTAATAAACAAATACCGTATGGAACATACATTTTCCAATCAGTGCGAACTCCACGTCAATCTCATGGCATTTGGAACAGCTTTACTCTGTAATACGTATATGATAGATATTCCATATTCACAAAAATATTGAATTCAAAGCAACAATTTATTTGATTAAATAGTTGAGTATAATTTGAATATGTTATCATATGTTCTTCAGCATTAGCTTAGTCTGAAGTTTGCACGCACAAAATTTAATGGAACAATAATTCTTGATATAATAAATAGACATATATATTATTGAAGGAATGTTTAGTTCAACGTCTTGCCTCAAGAAGGGCTATAAAATTACAAATCTTTTCGAGCAGCGCCTGATCTCTAAGCAGCTGAATCTTTGTTTGCATCTCATACAGGCTATGCAAATCCCGTTGCTCAAAAGCGCAATCGATGGCCTCCTCGTACAAGCTGCAAATTGTCGAGAAGTTTTAATATAAAACTCTTTCGAGCATATAGAAATCCACAACTTACCTAGCTCGCATGTACCAATACACCTTGCGCTTGTCCGGGCAGCGTAAGATATATTTTCGCGCCTCTCGCGTATTTTCTTGATGCAGACAAACCTCGACAAAGGGTTCATAGCCAATGGGACTCTTCTTTTTCTTCGAGAAATTTTCCAGCTCCACCCAGTTAAACTTCTCGGCCAGAGAGAGTATGCGCAACCACCAGAACCTGCGATCGGGTACTTTGAACTCGCTCTTGATTTTCTCCGCCTCCTTCAGCTCGCCCACATTCAGCAGCTGCAACATTGTGTCATGTATTGACAGTCCGTTCAAAGCAACAGCACCATTATGATAGTTAAACAACGTCTTCTGAAGCTTCAGCATGCGCGAAGTCTCTTCGCACAGTTTTGCCTCCACGGTGCATCTGCCCTGTGTGTAGCTGTTGCCAATAATCGACAGATTCGATTCGAGATCCTCGCTTTCAATGGCATTTTTAAAATGATACTCGGCAATGGACTTGTAATCGTCCTCGGTGTTGTAAATATCGTAGAGTGCGGTGCGACTGGACTGCATCATAATGTTCTTGTACATATTTAGTGCCAAGGGATATTGTCTAATTATCATCTACAAATTGTACGGATGAGATAGCGTTATAAATTATACGAAATTCGAAAAATTTACATGAAAATTTGACAGCATCATTTTCTTCTTGATTTCGAGCAGCACGGAAGTGACCAGCTCCGTATCGCCAGATTGTGTAGCACTGGCCACAGCACGCTCAAATTTGCCCATCTTAAGCAGCAGTGGAACCTGCACTGAAGCACGAGGCTCCAGCTCAAGCAGCTTAATAGCCAGCTCATCGCGTCCATTTTGATGCGCCTTCTCCGCTATATTGCAAAAGGAAATGCCCTCAATAGAAGGATTCTTGAATTTCTCCGTGATCTTGCGTGCCACCTCATTGTCATCTGTCAATAATAAAAATAGAATCCATCTTCAGCAGTCGACGGGGGAATAGATTTGACTGGCTTACTCTGGTCATGCATAACTTTATGACTGGCCCAATGTTCTAATATCCAAGATTCGGGCAACTTCAGATGCTTAGCCACTTGTATGGCCACAGCATAGTGCTTGCGAAAGAGTAGACGACTCAAAATGATATCGGGATTAAAATGAGAGAATCTGCAAAAAAGTTCTTTAGAAATCAAAATTTTTAAGATATTATTATTATATAATATTTTACTGCATATAAGTAAGGGGCATGGCGATTTTCTCGTGGCGCAATGTATTTAAAACTCTCAATATTCTTAAGATGCGCATATACTCTTCAGGATTATGAGAGGGTATGAATGCCTTGCCAAAGTAAGCTGCCTGAAATGTCATATTGAAAACGTATTTTGTAACAAGTTAAATTTTAAGAATTCTTCAATTTACTTTCATGAGGCTCTTCTGCGTTTCGGGACAGAACTCATATGCTGCAGCTTCGATGCACTCGTTGACAGCCAATTCAATGCTCGATCGGCACAGGCTCAGATACTCGTCGGATTTGTAGGATTTTTCTTCAAATTTCTTCTGTGCCTCGAATAAAAAACTGGCCGGCTGTTGGCTATTAACAGCAAAGATATTCTCCACACATTTCGGTAAACGTTGAATCATTTCATGTGAGCTTTGAGTTATAATGCGCACACCATCCATTTCGGCGACCAGAAACATGACAGGATCATAGGGAAATTCACTTCTGTCCGCATTGCGATTGACAATCAGCAGATATGAGGGATAGGAAATAACGACAGCATCTGCGTCGGCATTGTGGGTATTCATAATCCATTCAATTTGCAGTGGCATATCCTTGCGGCCCGTATCAAACTCGCAGTACTTCTGCCGCATATCGACACTGCCCAGCCAGAGCAGGCCCGTGTTAGTGTACAGCGCCAGGTGCTGATGGTTGTACGAAACGGATATCTTTATGATACGATCGTGTGGTTTCTCAAACAAATTGGCGATTACGGTGCCCACTGTCTGGCCATGCAAAAGTTTGATGACCTCGCGGTCGCGACCCAGCAGACAGTAGCTATTGCGACCCTCGGTCACAATCTCCCAGCATGAGCAATTCGTATTGGAATCTAGCAAAAAAAAAGTATGTGCATAAGGAAAGGGCTTCGGTTAAGAACTAATCGATTCTCTGACTTGGTATATCAGGCAGCTTTCGCTCCGTTTTGGTGCTGTTCTGCTTCAGGAAGATGCGACCAGAAGTTGTCATAACGGCCACCCCAGTGCCTGCTGCAGACTGAAAGACCTTAGCCTCTACAATCTTAATGACGCTTGCCTCGCCGCCAATGCTATACGATTCCTTTTCGTTGCCAAACATATCGTAGACAAAGACTTTGGCATTTTCCAGCACGCATATAAGCTCTTCGGTGTCAGACCAGCCCATTGAGATAAGCTTTCCATGGTTCCACTGTAACTATATAATTAACATCCACTCGTTGCCCACTACTTTCCAGATGCTTACTAATATGTGACCCATCTCACGTCCGGTAGTATCAAAAATCCTAATCATCGGCCTGGAAGTACCTTTGACGGGCACCAACTTGGTTGCATCGCGTATTGCAGCCAAAGGACCTCCATACGGGGCAGCTACAACTTGCATGTACTCTAAGTCCAAATCGATTGGCCAGTCAGGTGTTGCTAGCTCAACTTTTCTGTGGGCGTTCAACCGCAAGGTATACACAAAATATTTGCTTCAGTGAAAAGCATAATTTGATGATTGTGTTCACAATTACCTGTAGTAGTCCGGCCGCACATTGAACCACTCACCCGTATTGTACATTATCGGCATGATTACAGATTTATTTAACAATTATTTTGCGAAAAAATAAACAAACGTTGTGCATTTTCCGTTTGCTGCACTTGTTGTTCTTGCTAGAGAATAAAAATATTTGCGTAACTGTTACTTATTAAGTCACGAGTCACTCTTATCACAGCAAATTCAACAGCGCAGGTAGGGCTTTAAAAAATGCTTAAATACAATATAAGTTACTGAAAAACTAAAATTAATATTATTCTTATCGTTTTAAAACATATGTATGACTATTTGCCTTGTATTTGTTAATACTAGGCGATGTTTTCGGCTAGCTATCGGTACAGCGTGTGAGTTCAAATGGTTGTACAGTCAAACGTATCGTGTATGAACCCCCAGAACATACATGAGTGCTGGCTCTTACACATGTGAAAGGCCAATTTCGACAGCCAGTATTATTTGCTTCAAAAATACGCTTAATACGACTTAAAAAATTATTAATTTATTAACAAATGACGGACACAAAGCAAACTGTTGTTCAGGGTGTTGAGGCACTCAGCTTGAATGGCAAATCAGACGCAGAGGCTGTTGAAACGGCAACGGATGCAGGTGGTGATGAGACAACAACAAACACGGACGATGTTGTGGATCCATGGCATGTGGCTAGCAGCAACGATGCAGGCATTGACTACGACAAGCTAATAAGTATGCAATACGATGTGATGGCCATTTAAATTTGCACATCTTGGAAATTATCTATATATAAATATATACATGTGTATTTTGGTTGACACGTTGCAGAGCGCTTTGGCTCAAGTAAAATCGATGCGGAACTTATCGCACGGTTCGAAAAAATCACAGGAAAGCCAGCTCATCACTTCATTAGACGCGGCATATTCTTTTCACATCGCGATCTGCACACAATTCTTACGCTACGCGAACAGGGCAAACCGTTCTATTTGTATACGGGTCGTGGACCCAGCTCTGGGTCCTTGCATATGGGCCACTTGGTGCCGTTTATAATGACCAAATGGCTGCAGGAAACTTTCGATGTACCATTGATTATTCAGCTGACCGATGATGAGAAGACCCTGTGGAAAGATCTGAAAATCGAGGAGGCTATCAAATTGGCTCGGGAGAATGCCAAGGATATTGTCGCGATGGGCTTTGACTTGAACAAAACATTCATATTCAATAATTTGGAGTTTATGGGGTAATTAGAGTTTTAGAGTCGTTTACTTATATGATATAATAATCGTTGAAATTGCAGCAAATGTCCTGCTATGTACCAGAACATAATTCGCATCCAAAAGTGCGTCACCTTTAATCAGGTGAAAGGCATATTCGGTTTTGGCGACTCGGATATTATTGGTAAAATCGGGTTTCCCGCCGCTCAGGCAGCGCCGGCGTTGTCGAGCACATTTCCCTTTATTTTTGGCAATAGGAAGGTGCACTGTCTTATACCCTGCGCCATCGATCAAGATCCATATTTCCGAATGACACGTGATGTGGCGCCGCGCCTCGGCTTTCCCAAGTGTGCGCTCATCCACTCCAGCTTCTTTCCGGCGTTGCAGGGGGCTAAAACGAAAATGTCGGCAAGCGAGCAAAACTCTGCCGTCTTTCTTACTGACACACCCAGGCAGATTAAGAACAAAATCAATAAATATGCATTTTCGGGTGGGCGCACCACTGTGGAGGAGCATCGTCAACTAGGCGGCATACCCGAAATTGATGTGGCCTATCAGCTGCTAAAGTTTTTCCTGGAAGATGATGACAAGTTGGAGGACGTGCGCGTGGCTTACAGTAAGGGTGAAATGCTAACCGGCGAGATTAAAAAGCTGGCCATTGAGGTGAGCTGCTGAAAATGATACCTGTATACACTTACTAACGATTTTTTCCCCGCCAGACTGTCACGCCAATTGTGGAGCAGCATCAGGCAGCACGCAAGCTGGTTACGGACGAGGTGCTGGACAAATACTTTGAGATCAGATCGCTGAAATTGGGCAGTTAGAAGTATCATTAATATACACAAATAAATGTATTTATATTGATTTTTGTTTGCCACAGCTGTAAGCTTGTTGCACTCCGAAGCCTCACGTTGCGCTCGCTATTTATTTACTAAGCCAAGTAAAATTTTGTGTTATTATTTTTATAAGCACACATAAAAACAAAAAGCAAACAACAAACAATAAACGGCTATACTTTTTCAAACGACCGACCCACTTTAACTAGTTGTAAAATAACCGTAAAACTCCGGACTCCAAATGGGGGAGTTAGCGTTTGGGCCGACACTTCGAATCTAAATGGTTTACTGGAAAGCTCAACTTATATACTTGCTTATACGGGGCAAGCATCTGGTAAAGCAGCTAAAATAATATAGTATTTTAACTCGTAGCTTCGCAAAAATGTAATAATTTCCGTGTGTAATCTGAGAGTTATTGAACGCATTCAATTTCTGTTTCGGGCATAATAATACAATATTAATAAAGCGAAAAATGATTTTAGCTACAAGCTCTGAGTTAGGTGTATCTGAAGCCTATGACGTTTCTGGGCTTACTATGCGCCTGCAACTAATATAGTTATTATATATGTATGTTTATATATATGTCCATATATCAAACTCTTTCCTATTGATTCATATGTATGTATTTGACGTACATAATGGTATGTATATATGGGCTTCTATTTTTTTTTTAATTAACCCAAAACACTTGTGTTTACACGCGTCGAAAATATATATACACCTATAGCCCAGCCTATATACAGAGCTTGTCGGTGCGCGCTTGTGTATCGCATACGAAGAATGCTGCTGCAAAGAAAAACTGAACTCAAACTGAAGTTGTGGCGACGATCGAGACGACGACGACGACGACGACGACAGCGATCCAAAAGGCAGCTGCCCATAAGCCAAACGCGACTCCAGCATTGCACACGCGCTCATCTTCGACTGTCGCTGACAATAGAAGGAAATTAAGCCGCAGTCACATTTGTTATTGTTGTTGCTGCTGCTGCTGCTGCTGCTGCAAGGCAGGTACACAAAAGGAAAAGCCGACACACGATCCCGATCACGATCCTTGTTTTTATTGACACACGTACTGAACGCACTTGTCATCGCCAGCAATTGTAGAATTTTATTAACTAGCTGACGCCATGAGCACCAGCTCCAATGATGAATAGCTGTCGGATTAACTCGGCTGTGGCAGCTCCGAAGGAAAAACGATTTTCTATTGAAAACTCTTCTAGCGTACTTTGAATAGCGACCATCTCAACTACATATGTACATATAAAAAAAAAAAAAACAATCCCGAAACGGAATAAAAAATCGAAAGTGGGGATCATTGGCCAGCCGCAGGTTGTCGCCAGCGGACGTCAAACGGCAATCGGATTAAGCGTGATGAGTGATCAACTGCTGAGCGCTGCCGCGGACGATCCACCAGCACTGATACCCACGCCCGTGTCATTGCCCAGCGCATACAGTGTCGATGCAGAGTCCACGGAGCAGCCGGTGCTGCTTGAGCTGGGCGCCGCACAGCCGGCGGCGGCGGCGATAGCGAGTCTTAATTATACCCTGGCACCAGATGGAGGAGGTCTGCTCACCTATACGGCCCCACATGCGCACAACCTTAACTATTCGCCCACATTCTCATCCGGCTATGATAAGCAGCCGCATCCTCAGCACAATCTCAGCCTGATAGCGCCTGGTATGGGCAGCGCGGCTTACAGCATCAGCATACCACAGACAGTGTCCATGTGGCATGGTGGCTGTGCGCCCATTATTGAACCCAAACGCAGTGAACTGGTCGCTGTGCCACCGCCCACATATATGACCTATAGCGGTGGCGGAAGCGGCGGTGCCGTGGAAGTGGAGATCGCCAAGGAACAGAATCCGGCATGGCGCGAAAAGGCGTTGCAAATGGAGAAGGACTATAGGCGCACGGCCTGTGATCGGGAGCGTACGCGTATGCGCGATATGAATAAAGCCTTTGATCTGCTGCGCTCCAAGCTACCCATATCGAAGCCCAATGGCAAGAAGTACTCCAAAATCGAAAGCCTGCGGTGAGTTGGCAATAATAATTCGAAATTTTATGGAGTTATTTAAAAGCATTTCACATTCACAGCATCGCCATCAACTATATTAATCATCTGCAGGCCATGCTGCGGGAGAATCATGTTCTGCCCGAAACAGAATTGGTTTCCTTCAAGTGCAGCAGCCGCTCCATGCAGTACGATGGCCAAGGCCAGCACCACAATCACTCCGCCAGCTACGAATATGAGAACAGCGCCTCGGCGGCAACGTCCTCTCAAAATGGTTGCAATTGGAGCGGGGGCAGCAGCAGTTCACCCAACTATGAAACCAATTCCAAGGATCATTGGAACACGTAGTGTTCGTAGGTCAGCAGGATTAATGTGCAATTGCCAAAGAAAGTTTCGGATTTCAAAGTTTTCATAGACGAACCTTTTTTGGTTTTTTAGATATCGCATACCAGTGTACTATGGTTAATTTTACCTCTTTTTCCAGTATAAGACAAAATAAATTTTATTCTCGATAAAGCTAAATGCAACAGGCGACCTGTCAACATTGGGGGTATCCGTATTATTTGTTCAGCTTGGCTATTGTAGTCTTAAGCTAAGTTCACAAACCTTTGATTTTTAGAAAATAATAAAAAAAGAAAACTAAACAATAAAAGAATAATAATAATAAAGACATATAAATGGGTCCACCATTTTCTATTATCAAGAACAATATTTATTTAAGCGTTTCAAAATTTAATCTTAAAATTGTATAGCATCTAAAAATTTAACACTGACGGTGTTTATGATTTTGTGTTAAAAAATAGGGATAAAAAAAGGGCCATAAAAACCAATTAATCCAGAATAAGATTCTAAAATGCTGCAAAAAAATAATATCACTATAAACTAGTTTTGAAACCTAACCTCAAAAATGTTATCTGAATTCTTTTTGATACAGTTTTGAGGATAATATTTAAAATAAAGCCAAGTTCGCGGAACTCGTGATTACAGGATATGCCGTAAGAAAGCTCCTTAAATAAATCATACTTTAAAACATTTAAATAAAGCCACTGCTTTTGACTTTTTAGGTTATATTTATTTAACGGTACATTATTAACATTTTACGGTTGATAATTTACATAAGTTTGAATAAAGAAATGACTGTTTCGACTGTTTAACCTAAAAAGTACAACAAACACAAAAGATATAACAAATTATTATAGTTGATAATGGAATTACTGAACTGCATTTAAAAGTAATAAGTTTGTAATACTTATTTATATGTATAGCTTGCGGTAAACACAAAGCCAACTATACATTGCTCACACACGCATACACACAATTTGTCCGGTAATGAATTGAATTTAGAACAGGATTTCGTTTTGAAGTTGACTCTTCGCAACATAAATGGGGCGAGATAACAAAGATGGGGAAGGTTTTAAACCCCGCGTTTTGTGCGGTTTTTCTAGCACGTGATTAATTGTCCTTCTTCATTCGCGTGGAGGTCATGCGGTAAATGATGGAGTCCCTCCCGGGATCCATTGCTCCAATAGCATAGCAGATAGCCAGCAGGGACAGGCCGAAGATAACCATGAACCATAGGATAATATTGAAAATTACGGGATAGTCTTCGTTGTAGTACTCGGCCAAGTTGAAGGGGTTTGTATCATCGGCTTGGAGAGTGTCACGCTTTGAGCGTGAGTTGGCATCCTTGTCTGTGGATAGTACAAAGAGCACCGAGTCGCTGGACTTTTGGGCGGCAGCCAGAAGACGACCAATGGCAGCAGAGATCAGCTTGTTGGCCTCATCTACAGCAACGGACTTCTCTCCATGCGCCTTAGCAATGCCATCGACCGACAGGCGTATAATCAATACATTCGAGGGCTTGAGCATCTCCGCCAAGTTCTCGGAAGCGGCATTAATGAAGCCAATTTCCTGCAAGAACTGTTTATCAGCATTGTGCAACGCGGGATTCAGGTGCTTGGTGGGCTTGGCAGCGGGCGACTCAAATTCACCAAAACAGGCCTTGAATGCTTGCACCTTTAGGAAAATGAAATTTGATGGATTAAGCCTGGTTTGGGCACATTAGGCAAAAACCACTTACGCCCTCGTCGTACTGGTCGAAGTTAATATCGCAGACTGGCTCATTGGCTGCCTCCAGCTCGGCGGCCAATGCATTCAGTGATTGTCCAGTATTGGATCCAACCAACTCGTAGGACTTGGCATTGCCTGCCGACGTCACATGGCTAAGACCCTCCACATGCACGGCGATTACGCCCTTGGCCAGGTTGAAGGGATCGTTGATGGTCAGGCCGCTCCAGTCACTGTCGCCAACGACGGCATTGCCCATGGCAGCATATAAAACATCGCCGACATAGCGACTGTTCAGTGGATCATTGCCCTTGAAGCTAATCGCCTTTGGACAGTTCAGTACGGTGAACTCGCCAGCGGCGTGAACTGAAAGGTAATTAAAATCGTTATTATTTATATACATCACACTATACTACTTAATGTAGTTAAACACTTAAAATTTTGAACAGATTCTGCGCAAGCAGCAGCAGTTGGAAAAAAGAGCTCCCCATCTACCACCACCCTTATCGGGAGAATCGATGCGAGTTTAAGTTTTAGAATTTACACAGTTCAAGCACAACGCACAGTGTGAAAACTTTTTGCACACAATAATTATATTGAATAACTTACTTGCTGCAATAAATAGCGAAAAAATGACGAAGTTTTGCAACATTTTCATTTTTCTGCCAGCCTTTTAATCATATGACGAACAACTGCACAGAGAAAAACCTACTACGCTCTGACTGTCATGTGATGGATAGTAGAAGTGGCGGCTATCGAAAGTAGTCCATCGCTAATGGACAGGGCTGTCATTCCTGTTATCAAGTGTGTGACGTCACAACGAAACGAATGTATTTGAATACTATATTGGCTGGGATCAAATGTTTTGCACTTGTCTCGCCGTATGTATACCTTAACATTTAAATTTACATAAAAAATCAGTTTCTATTAATATTTTCTGGGATATTTTTGAAAAGCCTTTTTGGTATTTTCCTGCTTGATACCGACGGCCACACATTTTTTGTCGTGCTTTTGCGTTTGTTTTTGCAAAATCAACAAAAAAGCGTGTAAAAAACACACATTTTTGTTTAGTTTTTAAAATGTTATGGTCCTTGGAACAGGTGGAGGGCATGTTGAGTGTCCTCAAAACCTCAACGGACAAAACTGTTATATACAAATGTCTAGTGAAGCTACGCACAGATGTGGTCAAAGATAAAGATGGAATTGTGTTGTTTCGAACTGCTGGGGGTGTTCCGGTAATGGTTCGCCTCATTAGCAAACTCAATGAAAAGATAATGGAAGTGGTTTTGAGCATATTGGGCAATTGCTGTACGGATGATCAGGCTTGCATAGAGGTGAGTTGGCCAATATATATTATGAAATATTTCTTTAAATCGCCTACTTGATTCCATAACAGGCTGTGGAGTGTAAGGTCATTGCCCCTTTAATAACTATATTGAAAACCATACCCAATTCATTGATCCAATGTCGCGCCTGCCGAATGCTGGGCAATCTGGCCAAAAGTAAGAAGGCATCGTCGTTTTTAATTGTACACTATAGCGCCATAGCGCCTGCTATTTGCCATATCATTGAGTCAACAAGCGCGGTCCAAACTAGGATAATGGCCTTTCGCGTCTGTCGTTTTCTGCTGGTCAGCAGTCAGTTCTATAAACATTTTTTGGTGTCAAATGGATTTCTACAGCTGATGCGTATCTTTGTGGCGGTCATGAAAAACAACGAGGTGCCCAAGGCATCAACACAGGATGTTGAAGTGTCCACATTGATTGGCCTGAAGCGCAATCAGCATCGTGAAAAGTATTTCGAGGAGGTGGCACGCAATCTGGAAGGCGTACGCAGCGATATTTTTGACTATCAAATGTTAAAGAACTCAACGCGAAATTGCGAATACATCCTGCCTAAAGAGCATGATGCCATTGAGCTTGCCTATGAGATCTTGAAATGCCTCATGCTACTCTCTGCACAGCAGATTGGCATGAGAGCCTGGGAGGTGCGTATTGAGGCAACACAAAGGATCACCTATTCATGTTAAAATCTTTTCTTTTTAAGCTACTCTCGCGAAACACTTCCCTGGCACCTATTGTGTACTTTGTCAAGGAGGATAGCGAGCAGCGCGCATCGGCACTGAAGATACTATCTAACTTTTGCAAGGATCCCTGCGCCTTTTATATGCTCAGCATGGCGGATTCGATTGTGGCTGCCTGTGAGCTGCTTATGGCCGTCAATATGGCCAAGCCGCTATCGGAGAGCGAGTGCCGACATTGTGTGAATATTATATCCACGCTATCTGCCGATGCATGTAGCCGTTCCAAAATACGACGCTGTGGTGCTCTGCGCAAACTGGTCGCCATGATACGAGAGTCGCATTCACAGAGCGAACGCTCATCTGTGAGTTGATGCCTTACAAATTTGAAACAAACAACTAAGAGTTAAATTTTTTTTCAGTTATTTCACATTCTGAACAACTTTCAATATGACAATCTGAGTATGGAGCTGTTGCTGTATGAGGGCCTGGTGCCGATGCTGGTGCGTGAACTAAATGATTATCTGACCAGCGATGAGGAGCATCACAGGCGACGCCGCGAAGAACGTATTCAGGGCGGCAAGAAGCGCAAATTGACCGATCCCGCCACGCCTGAAACTCTCAGCAAGGTATTTCCATATATATTTCACCTATGTATATTCGATGGCTTATAAGCTGAACAAATTCTATGACAGTTCTCTAAAACCCAAGAGTCAATCAATTCGGATTTTGAATCGCCTAGCAGCTCGCCGCGCTCATATAACACCACCAGTCCGTGCAGTTCGCGCAGCATGTCGCCCGTTTGCTCGAATCTCTTTGCTAATGATGATGATGAGAACTATTCACCAGCCTGCAGCGATGATGATGACGATGAGGATGATAGCAAGGCTAGCAATACTAATACGGATACACGGGAATCTCGCATAGCCACGAATCGTGCGCAGCCCGCCAATGTCATGGACATACTTAAGCTCATTGACGAGGGCACCGAAACTATTGACGATACACTGTCCGATAAGGAGGATCTGGAAGAGCTGAGCTCCGATGTGCCGCCCAAGCTGGGACAGCTGCGCAATCAGGCGGGCGACACTATTGATGTCATTGAGAATTTAATTTACCGCATAACTCTGATGATTAACAAGCGGCCGGAGTTGGGAAAGCCGGAAACGCTTGATACTCTCATACGTGCCATTAATCTTTTTGGCGCCAATAATAATTTTGCCAATGCGTTGACCAATATATTGCTGTAAGTTGTGTGTTCCTGCTTATATATGTTGAATGCGACATTAATCTTCTACTTATCACAGCGAAAGCCAGTTTTTTGCTCAGATCATCAAGCATGGCGTTGTGCACCAGCTTTATCAGCTAACCAAAGTGGAAGAGGTATGAGTGTATACATTTTAAACTTCTCAACGTATAGAAGGAAACAGTACTTACATTCCTGATCAATATTATTAGGCAAAGCAAAATAAAATGAAAAATCGTATCACTTTATCATATAGCTCCAATTTTAATATAGCGTATTTAATCTTCGGAATCCCGAAGTTAACTCTTTGTTCTTGTTGCTCATTTGCACGATCTTAATTGCAGATGCGCAAGGATGGCTTTGCCTTTCTGGAGACGCTTACCAATGTGGGTGAATCCAACTACGGCAAGGAGGAGCTGGTACGTCTGCTGCGTAGCGATGCGGATTTAAATGCACAACAACGTGCCGCTATATCCGTGGCGTACATCATCAAAAGCCATCGGCTGCTCTATCAGTTTTTATATGATGGTAATGCGTTGACTCTGCTCTTCGACTTGCTGCTGCGAAAAAAGAGCGACAATTTGTATGCGGATGAGGCGGCGGATGCGGTTACGGCCATGTCACGCTTTACGCTGGGCATTATGCTGCCCGATTCCGAGCAGCCGGATGGGAATACGAACATCTGTTTTGCCCAGTTGAATGCGTCGTCTGCGCCATTGCATGACCATTGTGACATGCGTTTTCTGGTGCCCAGCGATCACGATGATGCCGAGGATGCTGGGAAGGATTCAGCTGGAGAGGTGGCAACGCTCACCATTGGCTTTAACAAGCAGCTACTCTGTGATACCAGCGAGGTCTTCAACAAAATGCTTAACAGCAACTTTCGAGAGGGCCACGACGGCGAGATACAACTCCGCGATTATACGGCCAATGGATTACGCTACTTCCTCCACTTAATTGGTTGCCATGCCCGGCATCTGGTCATGCCGGACTATAGCGCCCTGCTGCAGGCCTTCGAGATGTCGCGCGTGTACATCATACCCGAGCTGGAGGCGCTGCTGCATGAACGTTTAATACAATTTCTCGACGCGCACAATTGTCTGCGCTTGCTGGAGTGGGCTTTGAAGAACTACCATGCGGAACTTACTGAGACGGCGATTAGCTATTATTTGTGCGCCTCGCTGCCGGCACAGGATAAGTTGCAGCTGTTTCGTGCGGCCGAGGATTCGGTTTATGCCAGCGAATGGTTTCAGCTGCTCAACGATGCGGTCTACGAGAGATGCCGCAGCACTGGCTATTAGCTAATTTAGTTCCCTGCCCAATCAGCCAATTGTATATGTGATTATGTGTGTCTCCCTGTGTGTGCTTGTTCGCGTGTGTGTGCTTGTGTACTTGTGCCAAATCCAAACGCATTGTATTTAAAAACCCAGGCCAAGTTTATATCAATGCACTACAATAATAATAATCATAATAAACTGTATGCTATAGTAAAATGTAGAATTTAACTGCGTTGCGTGGACTCAAAGCTGGGCATGGCGCAAAACTTGAGCACCAACCAATCCGTCAGCGGCGCCGGACTAAGCTTAAAGAGCCAACGATAGATTCTATAGCGCCACGGTTCGTGTATGTACATTGTTTCGGGCTGTGCATTCGTCAACGCATCCCTGAACTTGTCAAGCAGTACAGCATCCTGCAGCTGATTGGGTTTCTTGAAACCACCCAGTATGCTCAGATACTCATTGAATGCCCTAAAATACAGGCCATAATGGTCCAGCTGCTCGGCGTTGAATGCCTGCAGCATTTGCTGTGCCTGCTGCTGCTGGCGTGCGGCTATGTTGCTGTCCAGCACAAAGGAACCGGGCACAAAGTTTACCACCTCCATCCCATATGGCTGCAGTTCAATGCGCAGCGCATCGTTCCACACCCGAAGCGCTGCTTTGGAGGCGGCATAGGGCGCCAGCGCGGGCAGCGCCTGGAAGCCACAGTGGCTGGTCACGTTGATAATGCGTGCGCGATGCTGGCGCAACAACGGCAACAGCTGCCTGGTCAGACGCATGGTGCCCAGCAGATTACAATTGATCTGCTGCTCAATTTGCTCCGGCAGCTGCCACTCAAATTCACCAAAGCACATGACGCCCGCATTGTTGACCAGCGCCATTAACTGGTAATCCGTGCCGGCCAAAAGCTCGCCCAGCTTGCCGTGCACCTGATCGATGGAGGCAGGCTGCAGTAAATCCAGTTGCCAGGTGTGCATACGATCCTGCTCAGCCGCACAGCTCATCTGCTGCAGCAGCTGTGCGCCCTGTGATTCCAAATTGTGGCAGCAGGAGATGACCGTCATGTGGAGCGCCTGGTAGCAGTAGACGGCCAGGGAGTGCCTGCTCGGATAAGTTAATATATATATTAATTATATATATATACAGTTGTGGGTACTGCCACGTTTGCTTACCCCAAGCCCGAATCACAGCCCGTCACCAGCACCACTTGCCGCTGGCCCACGCTCAGCTGACGCCGTCCCAAACCCAGGGTGCGTTTCAAGGCGCGCAGCAGTTGATTACAGCTGCCCATATCAGAGGATCTCGATGAACTGAAACGCACTCCCAAAAAAAAAAAAAAAATAAATAAAAAATAACATGCAAAGCGAACCCGAAATTTTAAATCATCTTATACATATATATTTATATATATATATATGCACTTATATACACTTAAAAAAATGTTACCTTAAATTTTAAATAAAATTTCTGGGGTATAAATTTTTTCTTAATTCATTTATTTTTCTAAATTGAAAAAAGTTGTTTAAAAATTTGTATTTGGTCTGAAATTTAGAATACTTTTAATTTTTGTGGCGATTTTTTAAAGTTTGGATATTCATTTGTTTGAGTGCATATGTGTATATATAGGCATTATCTGTAGGCATTATGCCGTCTGCTTAGGTATACATTTCTTTGTGTGTGTGTCTGTGCTAACACATATACATACATATCCACATAGATCCGCCTGCTGGCGACGCGCACCTTTTGAGTTTTACCTGCGCGTTAGGCTGGTGCCAAAAAAAGAATAAAACGAACCCTATTCGCAGCGAGCTCAGCTGGTCTTGTATACCTTATTTTATGTACCTCATTTTCATACTATGTATGAGAATGTTTACATTTTATCAAGGAATTGTTTTTGGCATGGAAGCAAGGTATATATATATATACTGGAAAAGGCGAGTTATAATCTTGATATTGTTTCTTTGTCAGCTTGAAGCTTTTATTTAGGAGTTGGTCGTCTGGGAACATGATATAGCTACGCTACCATAAGAATACGTTGAAATTTGGGTAAACGCATGATACTTTAAAAAATTGAGTGTTGTAGTCTAAAGAATCTTTTGTTTTTATAAACTTGCAAAAGATACTAGAAATTAAGTGCAAAAAATTGTTAATAAATAAAGTGTAAGATCCCATAATGTTAAATATACTCAATCTACTGATGGAGATATATATTATTATATATCCCTGCTCGTCTGCTCAACAGTCGGGTTTTATAATAGTTACACCAGAAAAAGTTTACTTACTTTTAAGGTTCAGCCTAATTTACCTGTCATATCTAAACGCCAGCTGAGCCAGCGATTTTGTAATTTTATGCGATTTCAATATTGTTTCACACACATCCGTTCCGACTGTGGCCAGGTAGAGCTGTGCCTTGATCTTGAAACCCTAATCGATCTCCAAATTGAATGGAATTATTTGGCTTTTAGGTTGTTCTGTATTATATTTTTATTTCTCTTACACAATTTTGGTTGTTACCCCATTTGGAAAGTGCATTTAATTATTATCTGTTTACAATTTTGTGAATTTCAATTCAAGAAATTTTGCGCATTTTTATGATCCTAAAATTTGTTGCGTAAGCACAATGGGGGTGTTTTTTTATTTGTTTAGGGGACGAAGGAATTACTCGTATTAAACCGTAAGGCTATATCAAATATTGTTGCCTGATTTGCTTTGCTCGTTTTGTTGTATCATCATATATACATATATATAGTTCTTTTATTGCATAATACATATAATTACATATTAAATAATTGCTTTGCGTTTTGTTTGTCATTTCTTAAAAATTGTATTTGAAAATAGAGCGCATTTTGCGTTTAGTAAAAATATATTTGTGTTTTTTTCTTGATTTTGTTGTTGTTTTTGTTTGTTTTTTATTTGTTTTATGCGCCTTAAATAGTAAATAGTATAAGTATAGTTATTCAAATTCTCAATTTTCTCTCATTTTGAAACTATTATATCATTTGTTTATTTTCTTTCCCTATTTTCTCTTTATCAAGGCAACGTATTAAGTTTTTTTTTTTGTAATTTGAAATATTTAATTTATTATTTTAAATGTACAATTTTAAAACCGGCTTAGTTCCTTTCATTACACGCTCTGTTTAAGTTTCGTTTATCATTTAATTTATTTTTGTTTTGTTTAACTTGTTAATAATAAATATCACAACGCATCCATCATTTACAACATCTCATCATTTTCTTTCACACTCTCAACGTGCTACAATTCATTACTTAAATCATTTTTAACATTTCTGCAAATGTTTAGGCATTATTTGTTATAAATATTTCTAAATGTATATTTTTTAAAAACACACGCAAATGAAAAATGGTTTAAAAAATTGCACAAAAATACAAGTAAATATATATATCATATAGTATATATATATGTATATAGAGTTATTATTAATTGATACAGCAAATGATAAATTAAACATAATAAAGATAATAATACAAAAGCAGTTACACATTTAACAGGGAAAACAATTACAATTATTAAATAAAGTAGCAGAACTTTTACGCCGGCTCGGCTCTCCAGCCCATCCGTCTAACTGCCACACCAAACCGTCGCACGACTAGGCGTGGCAGGTGCCGGACAACAAATCCGTGCTTACGAATTACAAAAATTAACGTTACAAAAGTAGAGAAAACATTGTGTATAAATCTAAATTAGCGTTCGCTATGTAAACGTAAATCTGATCTGTATGCACAAATTGTTACATGCCGCATGTTGCATGCTGCACGTTGCACGCTGCTTGCTGCATGCTGCTTGTTTACAGATTAAAAACTAAATGTAATGTTTGACTTTGTTAGCGACGCGCGCCACCGCCACGCACCCTACACTGGTTATAAGCTAACCAGCTTGGACGGCTCACTTGTGGGCGTTGGCAGTTCCAGCGGATGCTTGTTCTGGGACGAGCAGGTGGGCACCAGGGGCCCGGATACGGGCGTCAGACCAGTGCCGCCATCCATTAGCGAATCAAAATTGAAGGTGCCCGTCGATGGCGTCTGTATCGGCACGCCCTGTATCTGTGTGGGTGGCGCCTTGTTGCCATCGTTGCCCAATGGCTGGACGACAAATGGACGCTGCAACTGTTGGACATTGAGCGTATTGGGACGCGCCTTGGGCAGCTTGTTCAGTGCATTCAATGTGGGACTGTTGAGGTCGCCGCCAAAATTAGCAAATATATTTGGCGCCGTGCTAGTTATGGGCGTGTTCAGTGAACAGGAACCGGGGTCGGTCGGTGTCGTCAGGGATGCGGTCAGCGCGGCAATGTTGGGCAGCGCAAAGCAACGTTTGGCCGGCGGCGGACCATCCTGGTCCAATGATGAGCTCGAATCGAGGCCAACATCCTGCGGTTCGTTCTTGATGTGCTGCAGCAGCTGCTCATCGGTGAGCACCGGCTTGAGATCCAGCGGTGAATTGCTGCGACCCGTGGAATTGAGTGTGGCATCGAAGCCGGTGATGGTGCCGCCGCTGCTGCTGTCATTACTGTTGCTGTTGTTGTTATTGTTATTGTTGTTGTTGCTGCTGTTGCTGTTATTGTTATTGCTGTTATTGTTGTTGTTGTTGTTGCTGTGTTGGCTCCGGTTGCCCGTGCAGCTGCCGGCGCCGAGCAACGTGGTCGGTCCAATCAATCCATTACATGTGACCACACTGAGCAGATCATTGCGCACCTTCTGGCAGGTGGGCCGATGCGCCTGGAGGACATGTTCCAGCTGATTTTTGGTCGCATTCAAATTCTCAATCTCCTTCTTCATGTCCTCGCCCTTCTTAATCAGCGCATCGACCTCCTCGGTCAGCTCGTTGGTCTGATCGACGCGTCGTTTGCGACAACGCGCCGCCGCTAGCTTGTTGCGTTCGCGTCGTATGCGACGCTTCTCCTCCTCCTCCGGGGACATGTTGGCCGCCTTGTTGGGGCGACGTCCGCCGCCGCGACGCGCCGGAGTGCCACTGTTTGAGGTAGTTGAGTTGCCGCCAGCCTGGCCAGAGGCGCGTCCAGCATTGTTGACCGCCGCCAGAGCGACGGTGAAGTTGTTGACGCCACCATTGGACCCATTGCCCAGCATGTGGCCACCATTCTGATACGAGGTGCTGTCTGTCGCGGCACTAGCTGCAATTGGCGAGAGTTGGGAATTAGTAAGGGGACACAATCTGGCTGCTGCAGCAATAAATACTCACAAGTATCGGTTGTGCTTTGGTCATCATTCAGCTGGCCATCGTTCCAGGAACCGTTGGAGTCCTCCGTATCGCTGTCGCGCACACTGCTGCAATTCAGGCCAACCAAATCGAATTGCGGATTCGCATTGATCGGATTCAAATTGACCACTGCCAATGTGGCAGCTGCCGCCGCCGCCGTTGTGGGCGTGACTGTATTGTTGTTCGTTATGGCGCCCAGCGATGTCAGCGGCGGTGGCTTAAAGCCCGCCTGAAATGGCACAATATGCGGATCCGAGGTCAGCTCAAAGATGGTCTCCTCAATGGTGCGCAGCGTAGTCGGCGTCAACGTCGGCGTTGTCAGCGTCGGTGCACTCTGCATGCCATCAAATGTAACGAGCTGCAAGATAACACAGAATGGGGTATTCCAATAAGTATTTAACACTCTAGTATTTAAAACTAAACATAATTCCAGCAGGCAATTTCTCAATACAAATAAAAGATGAGTTCTGCCATGAAAGTCACATTAGGATACATTGAAATGCTACGGCGCAGCCAACTAAACGACCTTACAAAATATAAACAATTTCGATATAAAATAGTTATCGATATTTTGAATGAGAAAAGTCGCCTTACGACTCCCTGAAATGGCCAGCCGAAGCCAACTTAACAAGCACCCAATATATAAGGAGAAGAAGTTAAGACTTTCAAAAGTTGACCTTTTTTTTTTTGATAAATCAACCAGATTCTAATCGAAATTGACGACAAATTTACACATAAAATAATATAAATGTTTAAGAAGATAAAATACAGACGCCTAATTCTATAAAATAATAGAAAAAAGTTAGATAAAAGTGATCGATATTGTTCTAGTTTAAAAAATATTCTTGCAATTCATAAAATTCATTCACAGGCACAAAAATAAACACTTTAAACTATGGACAACACAAAAAAAGGGCGGGTTCTAATGAGAGACAAGATATAAGATATTAAAAGAACTAATGACAACGTTTTTCTCAGCAACTTTAGCCTCTGATGTCGAAACATAATTAGCATTATGATTGAAACAAAAGAGAATAAGTATATTACAACATTCGATAAATCGATAGCCGAATATGTGACAAATAGAGAAAATTGATGATCGGTTGTTATCATATAAAAATCGCGTTGTCGCAGTGTGACCGTATATTGTATATGTAAACAACGTTCTTTTGATCACACTGATATTGAGATTTAGTACAGTTACTGATTTGATCACAAAAGCTTCGATATGCTGAGCCCATTCGTTGGTGATGGGACAGTCTACACTCGCCTGTTAGTTGCATCGATAACTTATCGCCTGTTATTGAGCTATCGTACCTGCTGCATAAAAAGCTCACTGGCCAAAAAATTTGCAATTTCGCTGGCATTATCCAATGCTAATTTATCGCCATTTGTTGTTGCTGCCGTGGGCAATTGTTGCTGTTGCAGTTGTTGTTGCTGCTGTTGATTGTAATTAATATGCGCGCAATTGTTGTTGTATTGTTGTTGTTGTTGTTGCTGCTGTTGTTGTTGTTGTTGTTGCTGGCTTAAAAAGCTTTGCATTTGGCACATGGCGGCCATTGCGACTGTCGCACTGTTGGCGGCGTTGGCGTTGTTGCTGCTGCTGTTGCCGTTCGCACTCACAGTAGCAATTGTTGCTGCTTGCATGTTGCTGCGTGCAGTCTGTGTCATGTTGGCGTTGTTGTTGCTGTTGTTATGACCGTATGATTGCTTTGCATGTTGTTGCTGCTGCTGGTAGGCCGACAGCGTGGGCTGTTGCTGACGTAACAATTGCTGCTGCTGCTGTTGTTGTTGTTGTTGTTGTTGTTGTTGTTGCTGTTGCAGCTGTTGTTGATAGTACTGCTGTTGAGTATACTGCTGCTGCTGCAGCTGGTTGTATGGCGCCGTATAAGGCAGCTGCAATTGTTGCTGCTGCTGCTGCAACAGCTGTTGTTGCTGTTGCAAAAGTTGTTGTTGTTGCTGCTGCTGCTGCTGCTGCAGCTGCAATTGTTGCTGATAGTAGGGCTGGTAGCACGCATTATGCGTTCTACCATTGAGATTTTTCATCATAACGCGCGTGACTTATAGACTAGTGTGTGCGTGTGTGTGTAGCTTAATAAATATTAAGTATACGCAGAGAACAAATATTGCGTATACGCTAAGTTCGATATTTTTGTTTTTTGACTAGCTTTACAAATATTCGTATTGGCTTAAAACAATTTAAATGAACAACAATTATGTGATATAGATATATAATCTATATGCTATATATTCTTAGATTGAGTATTAACAGCGTGTTAAAGAAAATTTATGTTAAATTAAATATTTACAGCAAACTTTTCTTGGAAAAGCTAAAAATTGTAATGTTGTTTTTGCTGATAATTAAATGGTTGTTGTTGTTGTCGTAGTTGTTGTTGCTCTGAGTTTTAGGGCGCCAAAATTAGGTTCGTTCGTTTCGCGTTTTTGGCTTTTGCGTTTGCCTTTCGTTTAGCATTTATTTGTTCGTTCGTTTTGGACTTAAAATTCGTTGTTATTGTTGCTGCTGTTGCTGCTGCTTCTTATCCGCTTTCCGGCGGCTTCAGACGCGCCGCCAGCAGCGTTTGCCAATTTCGCAAGGGTTCGAAATGTGCGTGCAGCTGGGCCAATGCAAACATAATAAATTCAATTATTAAAACAACAAATAGGCACGTGTTGACAACGTTTAAACAAATCAAATTTTAAATATATGTATATTATAACAATTGCAATAATAGTAACAATTATAATTAACAACAAGAAAAAACACGCCCCGCTGCGGCGAGAAAACTGTTTTTAATTGCAACCAAATTGCGCGTGTTATATAATTATGTTGTTGTTGTTGTGCGCTCAGCTATATATATACATATATATATATAGTGCTTTGCATGTGCATATACTATATTTGTATTGTGTACATTTGTATATGTATGATGTATTTCGTTGCGCTCTTTTTTTTTATATATATGTACATATGTATATGCTTAGGGCCTCGCAATTTGCACACGCATAAATTTATGTTTAATTAACTTAACTCGGGCCACGCCTCTTAATGAACTTTATTTTTACATACGCATATATCTATATATTTACATATATATATATATATATATATATCTATATAAATAAGAATTGTATGTGTATTTTAGCACGCGGCATGCAGCGGAAATACTTCGTTGTGTGTTTCTCTTTTTTTTTATTTAATTTTCTTTTATTTTTATATTATTTTTCTTTTCGCTTAGCTTAATTCCTGCTCTTTAAGTTAATTCCATTCGTTGTTTCGAAATTCGTTTGGCAATTGCACGCGGCTGCGAAAAACAACAATAAAGGAGCACAATTTGATTTTTATTTGTATTTTAATTATTTATTTTTTTTGCAATTTTCGTTTTTCCGTTTGCTTTCAAAATTTTCCTTTTCCTTTTCTTTTTCTTTGTCGTTTTATTTTTATTTCGTTTTTATTTTCGGGCCGCGCGCGAGCGATCAGCAGCAAATGTTTTTACTTAATTTCAAAATTCTAAACTTCGATGGTTCGTTGTTCGTTTGCGACTGAGCGAAAGAAATTGAAATTGGCAGAAATGATTCTTTGAGATTCAGATACAATGCATACACACGCAGAGAGAGTGTGTGTGTGCGTTGTTGTTCTCCTGAGTGTGTTTCTGAGTAAATTAGACGATGACAACAACAGCAACAACAGCAAGAATAGCATTTAGCAGCTAAGCAAATCGAATAAATTTGAAATGTGCGCGCGCTGCCTGCTCTTAATTAAGGCAGCAGCCCACACAACAACAACAACAACAACAACAGCAGCAGCAGCAGCAGCAAGAAGAGGCAGCAACAGCAGCAGCAACAGCCCACGCCAACGGCAACAGTTGCTGCCATAAGTTTAGCCATAAACATTTGTTCAGCTAGTTTGATTTCTAGCGAATTTATTGGTGCTTATTTATAGCAATAATTCGTATGCTATAAAAGGTATCTGCACTAACTTGACCAGCCTGCACACTATTCAAGCCACAGTAACTAAAGTTAGTAAGCGGCTTACAACTGACCAAATATATCTGAAATTAGTGGCAAACGCAGTTCAAAGTCCCACATTCCATTGTCATACGTCAATAACATATAACTTTTATTAAGCGAACGCAACCAGCAATAATTACACTATATAACATAATTCAATTTTTGTTGTAAGCGCGTTTGATAAAAATGAAATTTAGGTCAGACTTTTGGGCTGTAAACCCAAAATTGAATAGGCTTGTTTTTAATTAAGGGAGCAACCCCCAAATTATGGTAAAATAAAACTTTAAAAATTATGAAAATATTGTATTATGATATAGAAAGAAATAGATATATCAACTATAAGGCCACATTGTTAGAAAAAAGTTTCATCAGTTTTCATATTCCATATTCCATAATAGTCAATAGTTTTGGAATGTCGAACCTCAACGAACTCAGCGTCTATTAGAACTAGAGTTATGAAACTTAGAATAAATCCCAAAATCTTAAAACTACTTCCAGCATGATAAAATCTGGCAAAAATGAATGACACACGTATATAAACGAGCTCAGTAGCAGTCATAAGTATTGACATACAAATGTTGCAAAATGTTGACCAACTTGTACTTCCCATATCCCAAAGTAAGTCCTACTTGCACATTTCCAGTTCCAACGAACTGAATTTTGAAATTTGTTATGTAATTAAGCATATAACGCAGTAAATAACATTTTTAGTTAGGGTTAAATGCAAAGAATTGCGCTGATATTAAATTAAACTGAATAAACCACAAGTGTCTTTAGATAGAGATATATAAAACTAGCTACAAATATGCCCAAAAGTAGGTGACAGCGGCAAGTCGTGGCAACTCTGCGATGCACTACTTTGTAACACTTTTTTTTTTTAGCCATACGGCAACTCTCATTTCCACCCAAAGACATGTGCCTAAACGCTTGAGCTGTCAGAAATAATCAGCTAATATAACATCAATACGCCTCTTTCAGGCTGTCAGCCGGGAGCATTTAGCAAGAGTTATGGCGTATATATTTTGTATAAATAGCAACCAGAGCTGTCACAGTTCCCAGAAGAAGAAACAAACAACAAATAATACAAGAAAGAAATGCAAGTGCGTGTGCCGTCAGATTGGCTAGGAGCAGGTGTCTTGTCGCTGGCAATAAACAATAACAATTATTGTATTTCAAGAGCTGTGTAGCTAGGCGTACGAACAGTTGCCATACCGCATATTTTTACACCCTGAACCCCTTTAAAAAAGGGTATGATGTATTTGTGCAACTGTATGTAACAGGCAGAAGGAAGCATCTCCCACCCCATCAACAGCTGTGTCGATCTAGTCATGTCCGTCCGTCCGTATATACGCAAGATCTCGTAATAAATAAGAGCTAGAGATTTAGAAATTTAGAGCGTAGGTCGTCATACTGCCAGTTCGCAGTACGAGTACGATAATCGATAACTTGTTCCGTTTCCAAGCAATCGATACAAATCGATATCGAAATGATGTTTTTTGAGCAAATCTCTTTAGATTTAATGGCACCGAATTTGCCATGTAGCTTCTTGAATAGTATATACAGATCAAATATGTTTCATTTTATATCTACCCTTGCGCCAGCTGCATTTGGCGTTGGTACAAGAAGGTTCAGGTTATTCTCTAGTCGGGCACTCCCGACTAAAGCCCTCTTGTTTATTTTTGGGTCTGGCTGAAATTGAGCAAAATGCGTTGTTGAACCCTGAAAACAACGGCGGCTCACTTCGTGCTGTTGTTGTTATTTGCTTTGTTTTTGGGGCGCAGTGAAATTTGTAAATTTTTATTTGTTTTTTTTTTTTTTATTTTTTTTATAAATATTATCGTGGGGCGTTGATCCTTTGACTTATCGCTTTGCATTTCCTTCAACTCGTTATTTGCTGGGTAACAATCAAATTTATTCTTTGTGTATTTGTTGACTTAAGCTTTTTGAAGTTAACCGCCTTTTTGTGGTTTTTGTTTGCATAAATGTTTAAGCGTTTGCGACTCTCGTTTTAACCCACTTTCCAAAGTGGAATCTCATTTGTTTTTGAGGGGAAATTGCATAAAGACCAAAAAATAAATTGAAAATTAAATGAACTCAGATGCTTTTCGCAGAACCCATTTGCAGATGAATCAGCCAATTTAGTTGAATTAAAAATATATAATAATATTTAGTATATAGCTCGTCGCGCGTAATCGTAATTGTCTAAATTGAAACGAGCTTGTTTGACGCAGCGAGCAACTAGTCCTATCACAACCAGCCCCAAAGTTCAGGTCGAAGGGGTCAATTGCGCTGCGCCGAGCAAGAGGCGGGTATGAAAAAAAGCTGACGTCGAAAATACCCTCCAAAAGCTAGCCAAAGCAGGGCGTATTAGTGCTTTTACTCTCTGGATAGCCTGCTAAAAGATTCGCGAGAGTCCCGCGTTAAATTCGCTAATCGAGTAATCGGCTAATGAAAGGACTTGCTGTCAGTTTGACAGTAAGAAGCGCAACTAAATGAGAAGCCATAAGAGAAGTTGAAGATATAAGTTGAAGCGAGCAATTGGCTTACATTTGCTGCGTTTTTTAAATACTTCTCTATACCCCTAACGACGCTCTTCTTATCAATTGTTTTTTTTTTTTTTTTGAAGCATTGCGCTAGGCTTCTCGCTGGACTTCTCGTCACGCTTCTCGCGATGCGTCCCGCAGTTCCTCACGATAGTTACGCTAGACCTATCGGAAGACTTTTCACTTTATTAAGGAATATTTTTTACTTTCCTCCAAGCATTCCTGCTGCTCTTCTTGTTACACTTCTCCCTAAGTTCACCGGCAGACTTTTCACTTGTCTTTTCTTTACGTTTTTCGTTGGGTTATTTGCTTACTTCTCGTTAGGATTTTTGTTTTACTTCTCGTAGCTCTTCTCGCTATTCTTCCCTCTGCTCCTTATAATAGTTACTCTTCGCGTGACTAATAGGCAGGTTCACTTGACTTTTGCTTACGCTTCTCGTTTGGCCTATTTCTCACTTTTCCTTACACTTCTCATTAGTTTTTTGCTACCTTCTCGATATACTTGTTGTTACGCTTTTCACTATTCAATTCTGATCTCTACCCGCTTTGCTTCGCTTGCTCTAAATGCTTATTAGACAGCTGGATGTTAATAGCTATAACTGGTTGGAGGGTATCTTTAAGCCAAGCATAGTATTTTTAATACGCTGACTAATGCAGCGACTGCAAAGTCGACTAGTAAAAAATTTGATAAGCAAATGTAGCTCAACTAAAAGTAGCGCGGGCGCAGCTACAGTAATCACTGCTCCGCGTAAACACTGCAAGTGAATTCATTAACAAATATGAATATTTTAAATATATATAATTAAACAAACATTTATTTATATAAAAAATATAAAAACAATGTGATTTGTGTGTTTGGCAGGCGAAAGTTGCGATGCCCTTGAAATTAATTAGTTCACTTTAAACGAATTCGCACTGTGTTTGTGTTTATATTTGACAAATACGCGGCGAAGTGAGGGCTAAGAAGGCGAAAAGCAAAAGAAAACGACGGCATCGCTTCAAGTGTGGTTGTTGTTGTTGTGGTTGCTGCTGTTGCTCTGTAGTAGCTGACGTGTTGAGTTATTTTTAAGCCAATTTTAGCCAGACAATGACGCAATAAGGCAAAATACAAACGGAATACAAACAGCTTGGCAGCCACAAAACGATGACAATTTCATTTTGTTTATATCAAAAGTGGTGAGCACACAGCTGTTAAGCGAACAGCGAAAATGAACAGACAGACTGTTAAGCCGCTGTTAAGGCAATGTTAAATGTATGTGAGTCGAAACAAATTTATGAAATCAAATAAGAAGTACAATTTACAAGCTAGAGCATTAAAATTCGGCAGACAAATGTAATTGTTTTTCTAAATTCCAAACTGTGGCTTAGCAGATTCTGAAGATCTGTTACATCACAGATATTAACCCCACTCTGTTAGGCCGCTGTTATGGCAATGTTAAATGTATGTAACTGACATAAAATTTATGAAATCAAATAACAACCACAATTTACAAGCTAAAGAACTGAAACCAATTTTGCAAACTATTCAAGAGCTTTGGGTTTACAGATTGTGAAGATGTTTCACTTTTGTATATGAGTTATGTAAAATGTTAAGAACCATGTCTAGGGTATTTGTTAGTCGAAAATTGTTAGTCTGCTGTAACTTAACTAGCTTTGGCTTTAAATCAACGCTTATTTTAGCCATGTGGCGTTTTTTTTAATGCCTATTATTTATTTATTTCTATGTGCAATTGCATAAATTAAGCGGCTCGCTAACTTAAATTGTGTATAGATGCATTTAGATACTGCCAATTGGATGATGAAGGTTGAAACAAAGGCTCGCCGACAGAGCGAGCGAGCGGCTTATTAGAAATGCGCATTATTTGCAATAACAACAAATTTTTGATTTCTAATTGGCAAAAAGAGTTGCCACAAAGCAATACAAAACACAAATAAAAAGGCGCTCAAGTGCAAATAGGAATTGTTTTATTTGTTGTTGCTGTTATTGT